GGTGTGGTGGGGTGTGTGCTGACTGGTGTGGTGTGGTGTGTGCTGACTGGTGTGGTGTGGTGTGTGCTGACTGGTGTGGTGGGGTGTGTGCTGACTGGTGTGGTGGGGTGTGTGCTGACTGGTGTGGTGTGGTGTGTGCTGACTGGTGTGGTGGGGTGTGTGCTGACTGGTGTGGTGTGGTGTGTGCTGACTGGTGTGGTGTGTGCTGACTGGTGTGGTGTGGTGTGTGCTGACTGGTGTGGTGGGGTGTGTGCTGACTGGTGTGGTGGGGTGTGTGCTGACTGGTGTGGTGGGGTGTGTGCTGACTGGTGTGGTGTGGTGTGTGCTGACTGGTGTGGTGGGGTGTGTGCTGACTGGTGTGGTGGGGTGTGTGCTGACTGGTGTGGTGGGGTGTGTGCTGACTGGTGTGGTGTGGTGTGTGCTGACTGGTGTGGTGTGGTGTGTGCTGACTGGTGTGGTGTGGTGTGTGCTGACTGGTGTGGTGTGGTGTGTGCTGACTGGTGTGGTGGGGTGTGTGCTGACTGGTGTGGTGTGTGCTGACTGGTGTGGTGTGGTGTGTGCTGACTGGTGGGGTGTGGTGTGTGCTGACTGGTGGGGTGTGGTGTGTGCTGACTGGTGTGGTGTGTGCTGACTGGTGTGGTGGGGTGTGTGCTGACTGGTGGGGTGTGGTGTGTGCTGACAGGTGTGGTGGGGTGTGTGCTGACTGGAGTGGTGTGGTGTGTGCTGACTGGTGGGGTGTGGTGTGTGCTGACTGGTGTGGTGTGGTGTGTGCTGACTGGTGGGGTGTTGTGTGCTGACTGGTGTGGTGTGTGCTGACTGGTGTGGTGGGGTGTGTGCTGACTGGTGTGGTGTGTGCTGACTGGTGTGGTGTGGTGTGTGCTGACTGGTGGGGTGTGGTGTGTGCTGACTGGTGTGGTGTGTGCTGATTGGTGTGGTGTGGTGTGTGCTGACTGGTGGGGTGTGGTGTGTGCTGACTGGTGTGGTGTGTGCTGACTGGTGTGGTGGGGTGTGTGCTGACTGGTGTGGTGTGGTGTGTGCTGACTGGTGTGGTGGGGTGTGTGCTGACTGGTGTGGTGGGGTGTGTGCTGACTGGTGTGGTGGGGTGTGTGCTGACTGGTGTGGTGGGGTGTGTGCTGACTGGTGTGGTGGGGTGTGTGCTGACTGGTGTGGTGTGGTGTGTGCTGACTGGTGTGGTGTGGTGTGTGCTGACTGGTGTGGTGTGGTGTGTGCTGACTGGTGTGGTGGGGTGTGTGCTGACTGGTGGGGTGTGGTGTGTGCTGAGTGGTGTGGTGTGTGCTGACTGGTGTGGTGTGTGCTGACTGGTGTGGTGTGGTGTGTGCTGACTGGTGTGGTGTGGTGTGTGCTGACTGGTGTGGTGGGGTGTGTGCTGACTGGTGTGGTGTGTGCTGACTGGTGTGGTGGGGTGTGTGCTGACTGGTGTGGTGTGGTGTGTGCTGACTGGTGTGGTGTGTGCTGACTGGTGTGGTGTGGTGTGTGCTGACTGGTGTGGTGGGGTGTGTGCTGACTGGTGTGGTGGGGTGTGTGCTGACTGGTGTGGTGGGGTGTGTGCTGACTGGTGGGGTGGGGTGTGTGCTGACTGGTGTGGTGGGGTGTGTGCTGACTGGTGTGGTGTGGTGTGTGCTGACTGGTGTGGTGGGGTGTGTGCTGACTGGTGTGGTGTGTGCTGACTGGTGTGGTGTGGTGTGTGCTGACTGGTGTGGTGGGGTGTGTGCTGACTGGTGTGGTGTGTGCTGACTGGTGTGGTGTGGTGTGTGCTGACTGGTGTGGTGTGGTGTGTGTGCTGACTGGTGTGGTGTGGTGTGTGCTGACTGGTGTGGTGTGTGCTGACTGGTGTGGTGTGGTGTGTGCTGACTGGTGTGGTGTGGTGTGTGCTGACTGGTGTGGTGTGTGCTGACTGGTGTGGTGTGGTGTGTGCTGACTGGTGTGGTGTGGTGTGTGCTGACTGGTGTGGTGGGGTGTGTGCTGACTGGTGTGGTGTGTGCTGACTGGTGTGGTGGGGTGTGTGCTGACTGATGTGGTGGGGTGTGTGCTGACTGGTGTGGTGGGGTGTGTGCTGACTGGTGTGGTGGGGTGTGTGCTGACTGGTGTGGTGTGGTGTGTGCTGACTGGTGTGGTGTGGTGTGTGCTGACTGGTGTGGTGTGGTGTGTGCTGACTGGTGTGGTGTGGTGTGTGCTGACTGGTGTGGTGTGGTGTGTGCTGACTGGTGTGGTGTGTGCTGACTGGTGTGGTGTGGTGTGTGCTGACTGGTGTGGTGGGGTGTGTGCTGACTGGTGTGGTGGGGTGTGTGCTGACTGGTGTGGTGGGGTGAGTGCTGACTGGTGTGGTGGGGTGTGTGCTGACTGGTGTGGTGGGGTGTGTGCTGACTGGTGTGGTGGGGTGTGTGCTGACTGGTGTGGTGGGGTGTGTGCTGACTGGTGTGGTGTGGTGTGTGCTGACTGGTGTGGTGTGATGTGTGCTGACTGGTGTGGTGTGTGCTGACTGGTGTGGTGTGGTGTGTGCTGACTGGTGTGGTGTGGTGTGTGCTGACTGGTGTGGTGTGTGCTGACTGGTGTGGTGGGGTGTGTGCTGACTGGTGTGGTGTGTGTTGACTGGTGGGGTGTGGTGTGTGCTGACTGGTGTGGTGGGGTGTGTGCTGACTGGTGTGGTGGGGTGTGTGCTGACTGGTGTGGTGGGGTGTGTGCTGACTGGTGTGGTGGGGTGTGTGCTGACTGGTGTGGTGGGGTGTGTGCTGACTGGTGTGGTGGGGTGTGTGCTGACTGGTGTGGTGGGGTGTGTGCTGACTGGTGTGGTGGGGTGTGTGCTGACTGGACTGCTTGCGCCTGCAACATACGTCCTGGACGTGTCCAATTGCTTAGATTTATTTATCAGTTATAGGAGGAAGAAGCTTATTTACTCATAATTTATTGTTATATCGAGTCTTGATAAATACTTTTCTTCGTATTTTAATTCATAGACTAGAAATATTATATTTATTGGGAGAAACATTAAGTAATTTGCCCACTGTGCTGACGCAACACTTTTGCCAGGGTTGCGTGGGAAGCATTTGGTTCACTTCTCTTGATAGATTTAATAATGGTAGTATTATTAGTAAATACTTGACATAACCATTTTAACTAAGTATGTCAGGGGGTCAGTAATTGATGTCAGAATTTCCGACAGCAACACTGACATAAAACAAGATCAACAAGAGGCTGTGGGCTAAAGATCCAGAAACAACAACTTTGTGAAGCACTTTTAAGCATAAAGCTGAACACTAGAACCTCCTGAAAATGGGCGTGCAATGTTCGCAGAAATGCTACATAATAAAAATAAACAGGTCATTGATGGTGCATGTGTTCTATTGCCAGTTATGATGGTGCATGTGTTCTAATACCAGTTATGATGGTGCATGTGTTCTATTGCCAGTTATGATGGTGCATGTGGTCTAATACCAGTTATGATGGTGCATGTGTTCTATTGCCAGTTATGATGGTGCATGTGTTCTAATACCAGTTATGATGGTGCATGTGTTCTAATGCCAGTTATGATGGTGCATGTGTTCTAATACCAGTTATGATGGTGCATGTGTTCTAACACCAGTTATGATGGTGCATGTGGTCTAATACCAGTTATGATGGTGCATGTGTTCTAACACCAGTTATGATGGTGCATGTGTTCTAATACCAGTTAGGATGGTGCATGTGTTCTAATACCAGTTATGATGGTGCAAGTGTTCTAATGCCAGTTATGATGGTGCATGTGTTGTAATGCCAGTTATGATGGTGCAAGTGTTCTAATGCCAGTTATGATGGTGCATGTGTTCTAATACCAGTTATGATGGTTCATGTGTTCTAATGCCAGTTATGATGGTGCATGTGTTCTAATACCAGTTATGATGGTTCATGTGTTCTAATGCCAGTTATGATGGTGCATGTGTTCTAATGCCAGTTATGATGGTGCATGTGTTCTAATGCCAGTTATGATGGTGCATGTGTTCTAATACCAGTTATGATGGTTCATGTGTTCTAATGCCAGTTATGATGGTTCATGTGTTCTAATACCAGTTATGATGGTGCATGTGTTCTAATGCCAGTTATGATGGTGCATGTGTTCTAATACCAGTTATGATGGTGCATGTGTTCTAATACCAGTTATGATGGTGCATGTGTTCTAATGCCAGTTATGATGGTGCATGTGTTCTAATGCCAGTTATGATGGTGCATGTGTTCTAATGCCAGTTATGATGGTGCATGTGTTCTAATACCAGTTATGATGGTGTATGTGTTCTAATGCCAGTAATGATGGTGTATGTGTTCTAATACCAGTTATGATGGTGCATGTGTTCTAATACCAGTTATGATGGTGTATGTGTTCTAATACCAGTTATGATGGTGCATGTGTTCTAATACCAGTTATGATGGTGCATGTGTTCTAATGTCAGTTATGATGGTGCATGTGTTCTAATACCAGTTATGATGGTGTATGTGTTTTGACATCAAGCAGGTGAGCACAGATGATCTGAAGTCATTCATGACTGTGAGAACAGGAACTCTGCTATTCTAGTGGTACAGTATAGAGGTAGGTGATAGTAGTAGCAGATACTAATAGTACTGCTACTACTATCACCATCATCGCTGTTACTACTCCATCTATTACTGCCACTACTACTACTACTACTACTACTACTACTACTACTACTACTACCACCACCACCAACTGAGAGAAGGTGCAGAAGTAATTATCCCAAGAAAGCTCTAAACCAGAATAGATAAGCAGCATGTTATAGGACATTCAAAGAGTTCTTAGGATACCAGTACAGAGAATAATAATAATAAGGTGGCCTATGACAGTCAAATTCACTGAGGATTTTATCGAGACACATGTGTCATATAGGGGCAGTAAGGAACAAAATTTCATATCATCCAGAAAATCAGGACATTCATCCATGTAAAATGCATACAAGGGGTATCATTTGAGGCAAAGTAGACACTACACTCACCAATACATAACTTCTGATCTCTGAAAATGAACGAAGCATATCTTCTACTCCAAGACGTCTTTTGAGATAGGTAGGAGCAATGGGTATAAGCCAAGGGTACATGTCGAATATTATATTGCCGCCTTGCGACAGGTCAAAGGATCTGTTGATAAGCTTGTTGAAGTAATGAACTTTGGGGTCGTCCACATCAAACCGGATATCTGCAGGTGGTTGAAAATGAAGTTATAATGGTTGCAAGTGGTTGGTGACGAAGATGTAATGCACCCTGGTGGTCAGGGACGAAGATATAAGTAGTGGGAATGGCAGGTTAGTGGTGATATTTGGTTTTGGAAAATATCACTGCTGATCTGCCAGTGGTTTTCGGGTGACATTTAATTTTGGAAAATATCACCGCTGACCTTGAAGTCCTTGCAATATATCCATATTTCGCTTCTAGTAGATAAACGACATATGAGATTAAGAAACAAGTAGTGTATTGTGAAGACTAATAATAAACAGCAGCTCCCCAATGACTCTGTAATATCTCCATTGGTCAAACAATTATGCATTAACGATAAGACCTACCAATAATGTAAAACGATTTACTGTAAATAAATGCTCATGAAATAGAATATTCTCTGTAACTAGCTAATATTGTAATTATGAGGTGTGAAGGATAGATGAAATTGTTTATGTTATAATCTCCGTTGAGGTCTGATAAAGACCTTTTGTGCCCTCTGTAATGCTTTTTGCGCTACCGCTCACAGGATGAGTATGAGGTGCACAATAAACTAGCCGCCTCCAGCGGCAACAATCAAAATGACCTGTCACCTGTTTTCGGGTAAAAAAAAATCAGAGTCCAATTTTTTTAGTTAAAATCGTATCAAGTCCATTTTTAGAAATATATGTTCATAGAAGTTTGGTTAGGAATTCATATAAGGGAAAATCAAAGTCCCAACCCATCTCTGGATTATAATTGAAAATAAACTCTACGGTCATAAACAGATATTTCCCTCATTCTAACTAACAATCACCTTATTCTTTGGGGCACACGTGAGGAACACAAATGCGAACAAGCCTGAATGGTCCCCAGGACTATAAGCAACTGAAAACCAAAGAATGAGGTGATATGATAAAATACTATGCCCAAGATTGCCATCAGAGAGCCGGAGGGCTGATGGGCAAAAGAGCCTCGGCTACCATTAGCTTTTGACTAGTCGTGATGGTCGAGTGGATTAAGGTGTCCTGTACACACCAGTGGCATTGCTCCTGGCAGTATGGGTTCGAGTCACTTCTGGAGTGTGAGTTTTCAGTTGCATATAGTCTCGGGGACCATTCAGGCTTGTTCGCATATATATATGTCGTACCTAGTAGCCAGAAATCACTTTTCAGCCTACTGTGCAAAGCCCGATTTGCCTACTAAGCCAAGTTTTCCTGAATTCATATATTTTTCTAAATTTTGTCTTATGAAATGATAAAGCTATCCATTTCACTATGTATGAGTTCATTGTTTTAAATTTGAGTCAAAACTAACGTAGATATATGACCGAACCTAACCTACCCTACCTAGCCTAACCTAGCATAACCTAACCACAACTAACATAACTAAGTCAATAATTTATGTTCTTAATATAATATAAAAATAATAATTCAAATAAACTAATTAGAAACAATTTGTAGAAAATAAAGAAAATCACTCGGCCTGTTAGGCAAATCGGGCCTTGCATAGTAGGCCAAGAAGTGCATTCTGTCTACTAGGTACGACATATATATATATATATGTTGTACCTAGTAGCAAGAACGCATTTCTCAGCCTACTATGCAAGGCCCGATTTGCCTAATAAGCCAAGTTTTCATGAATTAAGGTTTTTTCGACTACCTAACCTACCTAACCTAACCTAACATAACTTTTTCGGCTACCTAACCTAACCTATAGAGATAGGTTAGGTTAGGTTAGGTAGGGTTGATTAGGTTCGGTCATATATCTACGTTAATTTTAACTCCAATAAAAAAAAATTGATCTCATACATAATGAAATGGGTAGCTTTATCATTTCATAAGAAAAAAATTCGAGAAAATGAATTAATTCAGGAAAACTTGGCTTATTAGGCAAATCGGGCCTTGCATAGTGGGCTGAGAAGTGCGTTCTGGCTACTAGGTACGACATATATATATATATATATATATATATATATATATATATATATATATATATATATATATATATATATATATATATATATATATATATATATATATATATATATATATGTCGTACCTAGTAGCCAGAACGCACTTCTCAGCATACTATACATGGCCCGATTTGCCTAATAAGCCAAGTTTTCATGAATTAATTGTTTTTCGACTACCTAACCTACCTAACCTAACCTAGCCTGACGTTTTCGGCTACCTAACCTAACCTAACCTATAAAGATCGGTTAGGTTAGGTTAGGTAGGGTTGGTTAGGTTCGGTCATATATCTACGTTAATTTTAACTCCAATAAAAACAAATTGACCTCATACATAATGAAATGAGTAGCTTTATCATTTCATAAGAAAAAAAATAGAGAAAATATATTATTTCAAGAAAACTTGGCTTATTAGGCAAATCGGGCCTTGCATTGTAGGCTGAGAAGTGCGTTCTGGCTACTAGGTACGACATATATATATATATATATATATATATATATATATATATATATATATATATATATATATATATATATATATATATATATATATGTCGTACCTAGTAGCCAGAACTCACTTCTCAGCCTACTATTCAAGGCCCGATTTGCCTAATAAGCCAAGTTTTCCTGAATTAATATATTTACTATAATTTTTTTCTTATGAAATGATAAAGCAACCCTTTCTCTATGTATGAGGTCAATTTTTTTTTATTGGAGTTAAAATTAACGTAGATATATGACCGAACCTAACCAACCCTACCTAACCTAACCTAACCTATATTTATTGGTAAGGTTAGGTTAGGTAGCCAAAAAAAGCTAGGTTAGGTTAGGTTAGGTAGGTTAGGTAGACGAAAAAACATTAATTCATGAAAACTTGGCTTATTAGGCAAATCGGGCCTTGAATAGTAGGCTGAGAAGTGTGTTCTGGCTATTAGGTACGACATATATATATATATATATATATATATATATATATATATATATATATGTCGTACCTAGTAGCCAGAACTCACTTTTCAGCCTACAATGCAAGGCCCGATTTGCCTAATAATCCAAGTTTTCATGAATTAAGATATTTTCTCTAATTTTTTTCTTATGAAATGATAAAGCAACCCATTTCATTATGTATGAGGTCAATTTTTTTTTATTGGAGTTAAAATTAACGTAGATATATGACCAAACCTAACCAACCCTACCTAACCTAACCTAACCTATATTTATAGGTTAGGTTAAGTTAGGTAGCCGAAAAAGTTAGGTTAGGTTAGGTTAGGTAGGTTAGGTAGTCGAAAAGCAATTATTTCATGAAAACTTGGCTTATTAGGCAAATCGGGCCTTGCATAGTAGGCTCAGAAGTGAGTTCTGGCTACTAGGTACGACATATATATATATATATATATATATATATATATATATATGTCGTACCTAGTAGCCAGAACTCACTTTTCAGCCTACTATTCAAGGCCCGATTTGCCTAATAAGCCAAGTTTTCCTGAATTAATATATTTACTATAATTTTTTTCTTATGAAATGATAAAGCAACCCTTTTCTCTATGTATGAGGTCAATTTTTTTTTATTGGAGTTAAAATTAACGTAGATATATGAACGAACCTAACCAACCCTACCTAACCTAACCTAACCTATATTTATAGGTAAGGTTAGGTTAGGTAGCCAAAAAAAGCCAGGTTAGGTTAGGTTAGGTAGGTTAGGTAGACGAAAAAACATTAATTCATGAAAATTTGGCTTATTAGGCAAATCGGGCCTTGAATAGTAGGCTGAGAAGTGCGTTCTGGCTATTAGGTACGACATATATATATATATATATATATATATATATATATATGTTGTACCTAGTAGCCACAACGTCGTACTCGGCCTGCTATGCAAGGCCAGATTTGCCTAATAAGCCAAGTAGTTTTCCTGAATTAATATATTTTCTCAAACTTTTTTCTTATGAAATGACCAATTTCAATATGTATGAGGTCAATTTTTTTTATCGGATTTGAAATTAACGTAGATATATGACCGAACCTAACCAACCCTACCGAACCTAACCTATCTTTATAGGTTAGGTTAGGTAGCCGAACAGTTAGGTTAGGTTAGGCAGGTTAGGTAGTCGAAAAACAATTAATTCATGAAAACTTGGCTTATTAGGCAAATTGGGCCTTGCATAGTAGGCTGAGAAGTGCGTTCTGGCTACTAGGTACGACATATATATATATATATATATATATATATATATATATATGTCGTACCTAATAGCCAGAACGCACTTCTCAGCCTACTATTCAAGGCCCGATTTGCCTAATAAGCCAAGTTTTCATGAATTAATGTTTTTTCGTCTACCTAACCTACCTAACCTAACCTAACCTAGCTTTTTTTGGCTACCTAACCTAACCTTACCTATAAATATAGGTTAGGTTAGGTTAGGTAGGGTTGGTTAGGTTCGGTCATATATCTACGTTAATTTTAACTCCAATAAAAAAAAATTGACCTCATACATAGAGAAAAGGGTTGCTTTATCATTTCATAAGAAAAAAATTATAGTAAATATATTAATTCAGGAAAACTTGGCTTATTAGGCAAATCGGGCCTTGAATAGTAGGCCAAAAAGTGAGTTCTGGCTACTAGGTACGACATATATATATATATATATATATATATATATATATATATATATATATATATATTACCTAGTAGTCAGAACGCACTTCTCAGCCTACTATGCAAGGCCCGAAATGCCTAATAAGCCAAGCTTTACTGAATTAATATATTTTCTCTAATTTTTTTCTTTTGAAATGATAAAGCTAACCATTTCATCATGTATGAGGTCAATTTTTTTTATTGGAGATAAAATTAACGTAGATATATGACCGAACCTAACCAACCCTACCTAACCTAACCTAACCTATCTTTATAGGTTAGGTTAGGTTAGGTAGCCGAAAAAGTTAGGTTAGGTTAGGTAGTCGAAAAAACATTAATTCATGAAAACTTGGCTTATTAGGCAAATCGGGCTTTGGATAGTAGGCTAAGAAGTGTGTTCTGGCTACTAGGTACGACATATATACACACACATATATATATATATATATATATATATATATATATATATATATATATATATATATATATATATATATATATATATATATATATATATGTGTGTGTGTATATCACGAAAATAAACACGTGATTAAGAATGTGACAATGTCAGACCACGGAGGAAAAATGAAACAGGAAATTTCCTTAAGTACTTTCGTATATTAAATACATCTTCAGAAGGACCTTCTGAAGATGTATTTAATGTACGAAAGTACTTAAGGAAATTTCCTGTTACATTTTTCCTCCGTGGTCTGACATTGTCATATATATATATATATATATATATATATATATATATATATATATATATATATATATATATATATATATATATATATATATATATATATATATATATATATATATATATATATATATATATATATATATATATATATATATATATATATATATATATATATATATCATGGGAATAATGGAAAAACAAGTACACTTAAATCAGGATTGGATACACATGTGTATGGGAAACAGTCTTACAGGTTCCAGAAGAAGAGAGGAAATGTCAACACTGTAGAGAAATGTCCGACAGACCACTGGAACTTTATCTTACACAGTACACAGTTACAAACCAAATAAGATTTCCAACTGCGATTTAACAGCGCAGTTGTTAATATTGTACATAAACTTTTTGAAGCCACAAGTCATGAATACTCATACACCGCTGGAGTAAGACAGAAACGAGTAACACTCATAGCAGGCCAGCCAGAGACATAGGGCCTGCGTAAGATTTTCTCCACAAAAATACCACCTTAGACCACCACTCACCTGAGACAATCTTCCATATAACATTGAGGACAGCACAATTGAGTGACCAGGGGATGGGTTGTGGCGTCCCTGTGTGCTTCCCAAAGTCTGCTACAAGTACCTCGGCCTCGTTCTGGATGGCCTCCATCAGGCTGGACTTGCCCATTCCCAGGTCCTTGAGCTGACGCAGGGAGAACCTCCTGTTGTTGTGCCACGTCAGGCCGGTGCTGTTGGCCAAGCCTGGTCCCCAACACATTATATTAGTAAGAGTATGTAGCACGCAGTAAAGAATTATATATATAAATATATATTATATAGAATGTAATGAAATACCACAAGACAAAGTTATCATAGATTGGTTCTTTGGTTGTAATAGCCAAGGGTGGGGGATGAGGGGTAGTGGAAATAAGCTCCCTGAGCATGCAAAGTGCCCCTCATGGTGTACATGTTAAATAGCCTCAGACATCCATGTCCAGCTCCTGACCTGAACGTGTGGCCTAGCCTCTAAGCCCAGCAGAACTACTTTTACTAACAGGAGAAGGGGCGAAGGCGGGCTTCTGATGCCTTAAAACCAATTGCTTTGAGCAGATGGGACTTGTGAGCCTGGGAAGGCAGCATGGGAAAGGAAAACTCTGGATTCAAACCTCCACTGTCTTGCGGCTAAATCCCCTCATGGGTAAAAGACTTTACCTTCTTCTGGCAGGGAAAACCACCAGAAGAGTTAAGGTAGCATGGAGTTGGCTTCACCGTCAGAAACAGGTTATTAGGGTTCATATTACCGCCCACTGAGGGCTCTGCAAGGAACCTCAAACTCCAGTTTCTCACAGCCTCAGGAATGGTCAGCCTCATCTACGCCTTCGCACCAACACTGTCCGCTTGGCCTTCCTGCCTGGGTCAGTTTGAATTTGGGAAGATGAATTAGAATGGGTAGCGCCTTCTGGAGTTCAGCTGTCGTCACGATCTCTGCGTCACCAATTACTTCTTCGACACCAAGCCCCAGCTTCGTTTCCGGGAGACACCCCAGGTCTAAGCATTGGCACCAACTCGACCTGGTGCTCATGGGGCATAACAATTTGAGAAGCGTCAAACTGACCCGTAGCTTTCAGAGCGCAGATTGTGACACCGACCACTCTCTCGTCGTTTGCAAAGTTCCAACTCCGGAAAATCCACAGATCAAAGAAGGAGGGAAGACCATGCATTAACGTAAATAAGACCGTGATCCTCACAAGGTGGAGGAGTTTACTGCTGTGTTGGAAAACGCTCTTCCTGGACCACTCTGTGATAGCGCAAGTGAGAAGTGGTCACACCTCAGGGGCACCATTTTCAACACTGCCATTTCCACCTTCGGTAAGAGGCAGAACAAAGTCAGCAGACTGGTTCGAGACTAGTGAAGAGGAACTGTTACTCCTCGTTGAGGAAAAGAGACGAGTTCTCTCAGCCTACAAGGACCTGCCCTCAGAAAGAAACCTACAGGCTTTGCCCGCAGTAGAGTTCAACAAACTGCGAGGCGTTGTGCTAACAATTACTGACTCCGACTCTATTCCAGCATCCAGACTGCGGCCACGGTCGGCAACATAAGAGACATGTATAAAGGGATCAATCAGGCAACAGGCCCTAGACAAAACAGGACGGCTCCTCTGAAGTCAGCCACCAGAGAAGTCATTAAAGACCGTGATCAGCAGATGAATCGCTGGGTAAAACATTACTCCAAACTCTACTTCAGAGAAAACTTGGTCAGCGTAGAGGCCCTGGATGCAATTCAGTGCCTGCCCACTATGGAAGAACTTGACCTTGAACCGACTGGAAGAAGTTGAGAAAACACTGGATTCACTTTCCTCGTGGAAGATCCCAGGAGATGATAGCATTCTGCCTGAAGTTCTCAAGTGCGCTCGAGGAACACTTAAAACTGAGCTTCATGAACTTCTGTGCCAGTGCTGGAAGGAGGGCTCGGTGCCACAAGATATGATATATACGAGCTTCGTCACTCTACAAAAATAAAGGTGACAGAAGCGATTGCAACAACTATCGCGGTATCTTGCAACAACTATCGTCGGCAAACTTCGCCAGGGTAGTCTTGGTGAGGCTCCAGATTCTTGCTGAAAAAGTGTACCCAGAGTCACCATGCGGTTTCAGAGCTGAGAGGTCGACCATTGACACGGTGTTCTCCCAGAGAGAGACAGCTTAAAAATAATTGAAGGGAGCAGAGAAAAGCTCTGTACATCGCCTTCATCGATCTTACAAAGGCCTTTGACCTCGCGAGCAGGGACGGACTCTTCAAGATCATGGCCAAAATTGGCTGCCCACCCACCCTACTTAGCGTGATACAATCGTTCCACGAGGACATGAAGGGCACGGTCCTGTACGACGGCTCACCTTCTGAACCATTCAACATCAACTGAGGTGTTAAACAGGGGTGCATCCTTGCTCCAACCCTTTGTTGGATGCCTGTTCGGCATCTTCGCAATTCTCGTCAAGCATGACTTAGGAGCAACCAAAGAGGGCATTTATCTCTGTACAAGATCTTATAGAAAGCTCTTCAATCTATCCAGACTCTGAGGGAAAACGAAAGCACAGCGAGAATTCTCAGGGACCTCCTCTTCGATGACGACGCAACGATCACCACACACATAGCAGAAGGCCTGCAGCAGCTACTCGACAGCTTTGTCGCAGCGTGCTCCGCATTTGGGTTGACAATCAGCGTGAAGAAGACACGGGTGATGGGACAAGACGTCAATGAGTTACTCTGTATAAACATCACAGACTGCGAGGTGGAGGCGGTCCACGAGTTTGTGTACCTGGGCTCCACAATCTCAGACACCCTTTTCCTGGATACTGAGCTCAACAGACGTATCGAGAAGGCCACAACAACACTGGCCAGGCTCACAAAGCGCATTTGAGCAAATGTCAAACTGACAGTGCACACCAAGGTGCAGGTCTACATGGCATGTGTGGTGAGCACGCTCCTCTACAGCTTAGAATCCTGTACCCCTCCACTCTCGCCAGGAGAGATGGCTTAATACCTTTCAAATGCAGAATCTGAGAGGCATCCTTGACATTACGTGGAGAGACCACGTCACTAACAACCCAGTTCTCGACAGAACAGGAATCCCTTCAATATTCACTCCCCTGCAGCAGAGACGCATGCAGTGGCTGGGACATTTCACATGCATAGAAGATGGCCGCATACCAAAGGACCTTTTATATGGGGAACTGGCATCAGGAAGGAGACCCACTGGAAGACTCCAGCTGCATTTCAAAGACGCCTGCAAACGCGACCTCAAACAGCTGAACTTCGACACCAATACTTGGGTGGCAGCAGCTGCGGGCATATCTGCCTGGAGATACAAAGTGCGGAAGGGACTCCAGCAATTCAAGGGCGAACTGAAGAGGCAGGCGGAGGAAAAGAGACTTCAGAGGAAGTCTCGACCATTGACAGACGTAACCGCTTCAGCGTTTATCTGCACTCGCTGCGGTCGGGACTGCCGTTCTCGGGTTGGACTTAACAGCTACAGCAGACATTGTCCCTAATCAGACACACAGGGCACAATTCCATAACTCCACGGGATTGACGGATGTCTACTACTACCACAAGACAGTTTGAGTACTGAGACAAACTCGTACTCACATTAGCAGTGACACAACAACGATAGAGTTAGAGGTAAATAAGCCCAGTACAAACGAGTATGGAAGCCAGGACCTGTGCCTAATTATCATCAGATTTCCCCAATTATTATCACAATGGAGTTTACAATGAACTAAGTACAAAAGTATCATATGCCATCCCTGAAGCTAATAAAAACAAGATGGTGGGAGCATTAGTGTTTAAAGAGTGGTACACAGGTACCAGTTACCTCTCGATGGTGAGCTCTAGGGGGGGGGGGGGTCAGTGTAATATGAGGTGAGCGAGAAGGTTGGATTCACCTTTTGACATTATAAGAAAATGAAATGATGGTATAACTTTACCGATCTTCTTGAAGCTACTAAAGGAGTCAAAAGTGTAGAAGTCAGGTCGGTCTTGCAGGCTTAGGTTGGAGAAGGCTTCCTTGATCAGCTGGAAGTTGTTAAGAAAGACCATAGTTCGACTCCCCAGCCGCCACCTGTAAGTATTTTTATTATTCATAGGGATAACACTTCTTCCCCATAAACTGTACTAAATCGCTTAAGAACGGCAGTGTTGGCCTTATCGAATCGAATTCAAGACCCTAGGGGGTGGAAGAATGGGGCGAGGATGCAGACAACTTGAACAGGAAACAAGGTACAAGTCGGAGGAGAGGTAGGGGGGAGCACAGCTAGGTGGCCCAACCGTCATGTGTTATTTATTATTTTGTTTACAGGAGTTCTTACATTCTTGTACAGCTACTGGCACGCATAGTATTTCCAGCAAGTCCTTAATCCTAATTTTCACACACACACACATTCCCAGGAAGTAGCCCGTAGCAGCTGTCTAACTCCCAGGTACCTATTTACTGCTAGATAACAGGAGCATAGGGTGAAAGAAACTCTGCCCATTTGCTTCTGCCGTCCGTCGGGGATCGTACCCGGACCCTTAGGACATTGAGCCCTGAGCGCTGTCCACTCAGCCGTCAGGTTTAACTTGGCAGTGATGCTGTACGCCGTTCTCGCTGTCCATTTACATCCATGGGCGTCACACAGGGGCTCAGTTCCTAGGCAGCTGGTGGTAGTGGCCAGTTTTGTTGGTCATTTGTTGTAATAGACTTAAGGGCAGCATTAGAGAGGCGTCAACATGTACAGCATAATACTGTATTATGTCTGCGGTTTCTAGCACATATGACCATAAAAAGTCTTTGTAATATGAATAATTATGAATTTGAAGAAATATTGGTCGTGCTTCTTTTCCCCATTAGGGAAACTAGGGATAGTGACTTCATTTATATTTAATTGAATGAATTATATTATGTTGTTCAGAAAGAGAGGACGAGGTGCAGGGGAGAGTGAGAGAGGACGAGGTGCAGGGGAGAGTGAGAGAGGAAGAGGTACAGGGGAGAGTGAGAGAGGAGTAAGAGAGGATGCAGAGTGTTGTGACACAAACAGGCTGGCATACCCTCTCGAGGGTGGGGGGGGGGTTAACTCAAGGACTCGCCCTTGTATAGCTCTCTAGAGAGGCTACGTGCTTGTCCTGCACACTCTCTATGTTCAACTCTTTGCATTTGTACCTATTTGTGCTTGCAGGACCGAGCTGTTTGCTCTTGGACCCCGCCTTTCTAACCGGCAATTTGTTTTATTTTTATTTTTTTTATTTTTACCCTGAAGGGTGAGTTTATTGGGCAGCGCCACTCACCCTGCGAGTGGACATACCACCATATCAGCATGTACGTCACCCCCCACCCACCCCTAATACGAAGAAAACCCGCTGGGTTGTTCATCCTGCCAACCGTTAATTGTATAATATACTGACTCGTATTCTACTTTTTCTGTCAATATTTATAATGAACTATTTACCAACACACACACATGAGGCTTCATGTGTGTGTGTGTGGTGCACATGAGGCTTCATGTGTGTGTGTGAGTAGTAGGGTGTACGACTCACAGGGGATTTTTTTTTGGGGGGGAGAGGACCCCTGTGAGTTGTACGACTCACAGGTAACTTTTTTTTTTTGGGGAGAGGACCCCTGTGAGTTGTACGACTCACAGGTACCTTTTTTGTTTTCTGGAAATTCGTGTGTAGCGCTTAGGGGTTTTCAGGTAAATTTTGTCAGTCACAGATTTTAGAAGTAAGGATTTCTTATGAGAAAAATAATTTCCGAGACATAGAAGTTTGTTAAGGCCTTATAGGAGAAATTCAAATATCGTTTGTAGCTCTTTAGGGTTTCCAGGAGAACTCTACGGACATATTTTACATGTTTTCAACTTACAAAATCGTCTATGTAAGCCTTAGTTATTCATATAAATTTAGCAAGTTATCTGTATAAGTCAGGGTTTTCAGGGGCTCGTACATCACACCCCCCTCCCTCCCCCCTTACCTCGCAATCTCTCGCGTCACCTTTATTTACCTTACGCCCGGCCAGCCAGTCGCCTCTTATCATATCTTATCTTCACCATAATATCTGAACCGTCCCTCCTCTCTCTCTCCTTTCATTCAGTTCAGTTCAACTATTTTCCAACATCGTATGTTTTCTCCTTTTCATTAAGCAAGTCAGTTTTACACAAATAAATCGTGTTAGTAAGCATGTTCTAGCTCACGTTCCCCCACCTTAGTCCCCTGTCGTATAATGAATACTATCATTCCAATCCCTCTAAAATTTAAAAATAATCATATTTCAAATGTAGTTCAATACAGTAATTTAGTTACCAAGCTCCAGCGCTTGTCCTCCGCCTTAGCTCTCTCTCGTATCTTCATTAGTAACAGTCCAATTTCCCTGAAATTTTTACCCTCTGTATTTCAGGCACCGTAAATAAGATCAAAACAGTTATCGAGCTCCAGCGCTTGTCCCCCACCTTATTTCGTTTTATCCAAGATCGTTAGTAACAGTCCAATTTCCCTGAAATTTTTACCCTCTGTATTTCAGACACCGTAAATAAAATCAAGTCAGTTACTGAACTCCAGCTCTCGTCCCCGCCTTAGTTCTCCTTCGTATCTTTGTAAATAACCCATCAATTTCCCGAAAATTAAAAGCAGACATACTTCAAAGTTAGTAAATAAGATCAAGTCTGTTACTGAGCTCCAGCTCTCGTCCCCGCCTTAGTTCTCTTTCATATCTTTGTAAATAAACCATCAATTTCCCCGAAATTTTTACCCTCTGTATTTCAGACATAGTAAATATGAAGTAAACAATTATAAAACTCTAGCTCTTGTCCTCTGTCCAAGCTCACTCATGTAAATTCATTACTATCAGTCCAAATCACCCAACAACATTTTCAGACATAGTAAATAAAAACCAGTTCAGTTATCAAGTTTCAACTCTTGTGCCCCAGCTTAGTTCATTTGTGCAAGTTCTTTATTTTCCAACTAAATCACCTGAGATTTAAGATCACCGTATTTCTAACGTAGTAAAATTAATCGGGGCATTAACCAAGCTACATTTCCTCTGTCTTAGATCATCAGACATAATTATATCCGACCAAGTTCCTCTCCTGCCTATCTGTTTATCAGAATAATTACATTACCCTCCCCTCCCCAACGTATCCAAACCTTCAATAATCATACTGTATTTGCATATTTTCTCTATATTCAGCTGTGTTCTTCACATTTTGTCCATGTTTTCTGTGTTCATTCCATGTTCTACAAATGTTCACAGTCCCATTCAGTTCATATTTTCACAAGTATCTCCATTTTTTCTGTAATCTTTCTCTTAGTCTCATTATGTTCTCTACAAATTCTAGTCATATTTTCCATGTTTTCATGTTCATCACATGTTCTCTTTACAACTTTTATACTCAATATTCATGCTAACTTCCATATTTTGTGTTCGTTGTCAATATTCATATTCCTCTACAAGTTCATGTTCCTCACAAGATCACTTCGTTTTTCACCTTCACTTACATGTTTTCTACATTCTTTGTCATATTCTCCATGTTCTTCACAAGTCCATTGTTCATTCTTTGTATTCCCTATTCTCCTTATCATGTTTTCATGTTCTCTGTAAGTTCATATTCCCAGCATGTTCACTGTATTCATCAACTTTTCTTACATATGTTCTTTGCCATGTTCCCCATATGTTCTCTGGGTTTTTTCCCCTTGCATGTTATTTAACGTTCCTTAACTAAAAAAATCTTTCGCCAATCAACTAAAACATAGTCACTTTCGTCATTTCTCAACTAAACTTATTATCCAGTCAACTAAAAATAGTCAGAAATAGCCTCGTTCAACACTGTTCTTAACTAAAACAACCTTTCTCTTAGCTAAAAATTGTCAAAGGAAACTTCTTTCAGCACTTTCTTAACAGCCGCTACGTTTCATCAAGTAAGAAAAAATTGTCAAAGGAAACTTTCCAAAACTGTTCATAACTAAACTTATTCCCTAGTCAACAGAAAATAACCGTGTTCTTCATGTTTCATTGTCATTTCATAACTAAACTTATCCGCCAATCATCAGAAAAAGTCATGTTCATCATGTTTTGTCTTTTGCTCAACTAAAAGTATTCATCAGTCAACTAAAAAATAGTTACTTCATCATGTTTCCTTGTCATTTCTTAACTGAAATATCACTTCTCTCATCTGAAATAGTCATGTGTAGCCTCTTTCCAACACTGTTCTTAACTAAAGTAGCCTTTCACTTCGCTAAAATAGTCATATTCGTCATTGTTCCTAACTAAAATTATATGTCGTTAAGTAAGATATATAGTCAAAGACTCTCTTCGAGACATCAAAGACATCCTTTAAGACTTCAATGGGACTCTTCGAGATATCAAAAGACACTCTCAAACACTCAAAAATTTACTTGCATCCTCAAAGTTAATCTCAGAGGCATAAAAGTTATTCTCGGAGTTCCAACACTGTTCATAACTAAACTTATTCCCTAGTCATCAGAAAATAACCGTGTTCTTCATGTTTCATTGTCATTTCATAACTAAAATTATCCATCAATCAACCGAAAAAGTCATATTCATCATTTCGTAACAGCCATTATGTTTTCGTCAAGTAAGAAAATATAGTCAAAGATATCTATCATCGTCGTTCTTAACTGACATTTATACTTTGTGGAGCACTAAAAATAGTCAAATGTAACTTTTTCAACACTTTCGTAACTAAAATTATATGTCGCTAAGTAAGAAAAAATTGTCAAAGGAATCTTTCCAGCACTGTTCACAACTAAACATATTCCCCATTCATCAGAAAATAACCGTGTTCTTCATGTTTCATTGTCATTTCATAACTAAAATTATCCATCAATCAACAGAAAAAGCCATGTTCATCATGTTTTTGTCTTTTTGCTTAACTAAAATTATGTTTTGTCAAGTAAGAAAAAATAACCAAAGATATCTTTCATCGCTTTTCTTAACTGACATTATACTTTGGGGAGCACAAAAATAGTCTCCCTCGTCATGTTTTATCTTTTTCCTTAACTAAAGTATTCATCAGTCAACTAAATAATAGTTACTTCATCATGTTTCCTTGTCATTTCTTAACTGAAATATCA